GCCCAAACCGGGGTGGTTACACGACCTCACAGAATACCGGCGTGAAGTGGAAGCTCTGCTTCCGCGTTTCGTCTGGTGAGTGCAGGTGCCGGAGGCCTAAATACCCCCCCCCCCAACAACATGGTAGCGGAATTAAATAATGATGGACTACCCCAAAAGGGTACCAGCACCCCTGGAGAATCCCTCGCTGAGCATCCACGAACATGTTTCTCCACTTCTGAGCGTGGGTGCTCGGGCTGCCCCGCGTATTCTGGGGGGGGGGGGGCAAAATTCCGCTCAGGACTACAACTGCTCGGGGCAAACGGAGGAACCAAGGTGACTCCTGCCACGCTGTCCGTGAATTTCTGCAATATCAGGGGATTTCACTCTAACTTAAACGCCGTCCACTATCATCTCGAGACGGCGAGGCCGGCTCTGCTCTTCCTGACCGAGACGCAGGTGTCCTCTCCGGCTGATGTCTCGTATCTCTCCTACCCGGGGTACAAACTGGAACACTCCTTTGTGCCTCGGGCTGGAGTTTGCGTTTACGTCAGAGAGGACATCTGTTCTCGACGCCTCGGCAGACTTGAAGGTTCGGACCTGTCCATCCTTTGGCTATGCGTAGACAGCAATGACAATTCACGCGTCTACGGGTGCCTCTATACGTCCCATAGCGGTAATGCCGAAACAGACCGACTCTTCGACCACGTTCAAATGGCTACAGATTCGTTGCTACAGGAGATCCCCTCCACAGAGATCGTGGTCCTCGGCGACTTTAACGCCCATCACGCCGAATGGCTTGGATCACGTTTAACCAATCATGCGGGGAGATCTGTTCATGACTTTGCCTTGGCATATGTTCTGACACATGCACCTTCCCTGTTGGACCTTCTGCTGACCTTTCACCCGGACGGTTATCAGATTTCCGTCGAAGCCCAATTTAGGCTCCTCGGACCATTGTCTTCTCCGGAGTGTGGTGCCACTCACGCTGAAATCGCGGTTGCATTATGCAGGCTGCCGCCTTGTTTGGCACTATAGGTCAGCCGATTGGGATGGGATGCGGTCTTTCTTTGCATCCTACCCGGGGCTTCGCGGACGATCCCAAAGTTGTTGCGGTTTCTGTGCTGGGTGGGTATGGAACTTTTTATTCCTTCCTCTGTGGTGCCCGTTGGAGGCAAATCTCAGCCATGGTTTGGTCGCTCCTGTAAAATAGCATCATGCTATAAGCAGGAGTGCTACCAGGCCTGGGCTGACGCATCAGCGTCCCGGGATGTAAACACCAGCGCTCTAAAAAAGAAGTATAATTCCGCCTCTAGGTCCTTCAAAAGAGTCATTGCCAAGGCAAAGTCAGAGCACATAGGCAGCTTTCTTGCAGATCGGAGCATCAAGGTCGTTGTTGACCGTGCAAGCTCCGATTGCAAGCCTATTAATGCTGGTGTTCCACAGGGCTGCGTGCTATCGCCAACGCTGTTTCTTCTGCATATCAATGATATGTTGCTAACCCGTAACATTCATTGCTATGCAGATGACAGCACTGGTGATGCTCTTTACACCGGTCGAGCCAATATTTCTCGGAAAACGTCTCCGAGTGCCGGAATAAACTTGTGTCTGAAGTCGAGTCTTTGCTGAACAGAGTCTCGGATTGGGGGCGACTAAATCTAGTCCAGTTTAACCCCCAGAAGACACAAGTTTGCGCGTTAACCGCTAAAAAGAACCCCTTTGTCGTATCCCCTCAGTTTCAAGGCACTCCCCTTGTTGCCTCAGCCAGTATTGGAATCCTCGGCGTCGACATATCGAGTGACGTGCAGTTTCGTGGTCACTTGGAAGAGAAGGCCAAATTGGCCTCTAAAAAGCTTGGCGTGCTCAGCAGAGCGGGACAGTATTTCATGCCGGCACACCGCCTGCAACTTTATAAGGCGCAGGTTCGGCCGCACATGGAATACTGTTCCCATCTCTGGGCTGGGGCTCCCCAGTACCAGCTCCTTCCATTTTCTCAAGGAGTTCTTCGGGTCCACACGTTTCAAAAGGAGTTTTCTTCCGCGTACAACCTTTCTGTGGAATAGTTTTCCACCGGCGATTTTTCCGGACCGACACGACCTGGGGACCTTCAAGAAAAGAGCTTACTCCTTTCTAAAGGGCCGGCAACGCACCTGCAATTCCCCTGGTGTTGCGGTTGATCATGGGCGGTGGTAATCACTTAACATCAGGTGAGCCGCATGCTCGTTTGCCCCCTCTTCTATAAAAAAAAACATCCACACCATCTGGATCCTTGGCGGTCCACCACTGTACGTTTCAAAAGGAGTTTTCTTCCGCGTACAACCTCTCTGTGGAATAGTTTACCACCGGCGATTTTTCTGGACCGATACGACCTGGGGACCTTCAAGAAAAGAGCTTACTCCTTTCTAAAGGGCCGGCAACGCACCTGCAATTCCCCTGGTGTTGCGGTTGATCATGGGCGGCGGTAGTCACTTAATATCAGGTGAGCCGCATGCTCATTTGCCCCCTCTTCTATAAAAAAAAAATGTAAAAAATCTCTCATAATGCGTCTAGCTCACAAACTTGCGAAACGGGGTATTTTTTTAATTTATGTCATTTTGTTACCATTTATGCCAGTGATAAGACGGACTGAAGTTATAGCATGTACGAAAAACGCAAATCGCAACGTATTTTATTTGTAGTCTCTACCACCGGGTGTAAGTAAAGATGGCGACAGTGTGCGAGCGAGAGGTAAATAGAAGCGACGCCATTTTCAGTCCCATTCATTATTTTCAATATTCTTACAATGAATTTCTTCTGTATCGGATATGGAGTTAATTTTGATTAACTATTTTAAATTGGCGATAGACACTGAATTTTTCCCACAAGCATTTACCTCTTACCATACAATATTTTTACATAATATTTTTTTTTTAAAATAAGCTATTATCGTAGTTAATACTTTTTTCACAGGATTTTTTTTTTGTATTAAACAAATTCATCCCTTTTACAAATTACTGTCATTACACTTTTTGTTTAACAGTTAGTTATATTATAATTCATTTAAATATACAGAATATCACAACGTCACTTAACGTTTTAAAAATCAAACTATTACGCAGCCATTAATGTTCGCGTGTGGTAAAAAGGTGTTCCTGTAATTTTAGTTCTTAAAGTTAATAATTTATTCTTTATTTATGGAAAAAATTAAAGTATACGCTTAATTTGTCTAATTTAAGATAATATCACATAGTCATATTTCGAACTGCCAGGAACTAAGATTGGAGCTATTACGGCTGAGTAAACAGCTTTTGTACGTGGTACAGCCACGCTTTAGATAAATTATGTTTGTTGCATTGACTTATATATTACTAGCGTAAGGACCGGGCCGACCGAAAAACTAAAACGGAGTTTAGGGCCAACGCGAATCGGTCGACAGTACAGATTTGTCTGTCATAAATATGTTTAGTTGCGTGGTAAAAGGATGCAAAAATTACGATACAAAGATTAAAAAGGAACATGGGATATCGTATCATCGGTTAATAACCTTATATTAATTTTGTTGCAATTAAAGTTAGTTTAGTTACATTACCAAGATTAGGCCAAGGTTGAATTCAGACCCTCAAAAATATTGTACATGGAAAATAAATATATACTATTTTTTAAAAATTATATCACGTTTGACGTTTCATGTTTCTTTTTTCCCCATGTGCCGGGATTTTGGCGTCACGCGTCTAGTTTATCTATACGTTTCGTTTTTTTACGGTTTTATTTTTATTTCTGTTTTATTTTTGTCTAAAAAACTTCGTGTAAGTTAAATTTTGAATATTTGTACCTAATATATTTTATATTCTATAAGGGTAAAACGAAAATAGTAGAAAAGAAACCATATCTGCTTAACTGAATCTGAAAATCAGATTCATAAAATATTCCGAAATTTGTTTTCAAACCGATTGCTTCTGGAGCATAGAGTTTTTCTCGTGGTAGCTCCTCATTATAGTTGTATCAAGGATTCAACATAAATGCATCGATCGAGCACCGATTGACCAGAAAGTGAGCTAATTTCAATTTTATTAAAAAAAGGGTTAATATTAAAAATTAAAATGACCCAATAATAATACAAGTCATCCTTTAGGTAAAATTATGGTATTTTCGCTTAGTATTATTACGATAATATATAGTACAAACTATGAAATAATGGTGCAATTAGGATAATTATACTACGAAATCCGACCCTGGTTACGTCGTGTTATGATATGACGTTTGTATTATGTTATGACAGATGCCTGCAAATTTCTTGTACGAAAAAGCTATGAGTAAAATATTTAGATGGGCCTATCCTTCCTTTTGAAATCATTGATTTGTTGTCCTTTAGATTTTTAGATGTTTGTAATGTCGTCTAAGAATCGTACTACATTCTTCATTACATGCTTAAAGTTAATTCTAATAAATAGTCAATCATCATTATTTTCTAAGACGTGTAGTTAGAGGCGGGGTTATTATTAGATTTATATAAATTATCTTAATGTCACTTTGCAAAATCACTTATTAATATGGATAGCTATATGGGAAAAGAATAAATACACCAACATTCAGTGATGAAAACTCTTTAGTGCACACATACATACATAAAATAATTGTATTTTGGAATAGTTGATAAATACATCATAAACAGAAATAAGCTAGCATTTACAAACAGTTTTACACATTTGAAATCTTGTACGGGTATTCTTATACAATGCAATGTTAAAATAATAATAAACGATCAATAAGCCATTGGAATTTGCCGTGGGTCGAATAAGTTAGAAAGAGATCTTCTGGATAGAGATTTCTGTAAGAAATTTGCCTTCAAAAATGAATTATGATTATTAAAATTTGAATTATGCCTTCAAAAGATTAGATAACTTGAAATTCCGATGAAAACGTATTGTTCATTTTTACAAAGTCTTGTGTAGTAAGATTGTGTTGATCTATAGAATCATTTTAATTTCTGGACGCCATTTGCAAGTATGAATTAAAAATTTAGTTTTTAAGACGTAGGTACCTTAAGGGCACGGGCTAGAACAGTATGGACAAGAACATGGATCTGGACACGGAACAGAGCAAGGTTCAGGTATAACTGGATACCTTATACTAGGTTCGCCTTTGAAAATAGCTGACGTGGGAATGCATATTGTTGGCGGTTGGACTGTCGGCGGTGTAGGTTGTCGGACGACAATTGGGGGTGGATTTATTGGAGAAGGCTGTGGCTGCGTTACAGTGATTGGTGACGGTTGAATTGGTGCTGGTTTCGGTGGCCTTACAATAACGGGTTTCGGTTGGATTGGAGCAGGCCGAGGTGGACGTACGCAGATAGGAGGGGGTGTTATAGGGGGCAAAGGTGCAGGCCTTATAACTATACGTGGTGGCACTATAGGTGGTTGTTGCGGGGGTTGCACAGTAATAGCGGCAGGAGTGATCGGACGAAGTGGAGCTGGTCTAACTAATATGGAAGGTGGCTGAATGAGTACTGGAGGCGAATGGGTAATATAAAATGTTCCACCTGGTACTTGAACAGCTTGGAAACCTGCTGAGCGTAATTTTTCAGGAATGCTTGACTTCGATATCATGACTCTAATCGGTCCATTGCCACCAGGAGCTGCAAAAGTATTAAACTATTTTATAAAATTCCTGAGGAACAGTTTTAAAAGATCACTTTTATACTTACTTGGTGGTGGCAGATTAGGGTCTGCGGGTTGCGAAGGACGTGGTAATGGGCAAGGTGGGTTATTTGTTTCTAAACAAGGTGGTTCAGATAAAGGTTCTGGGCATGGTGGAATAAAGGTTTGGGCAGGTGGATAGCAGGGGCTTGGTTCTGGGTCGTAACATGGCTCAGCATATGGTGGTAATGTAAACGGTGCTGGTGCCGCCGCCGTTGATGCAACTAACACTGTTAATAAATAAAAAATAATTTTCTGTTTTTTAAAAAAAAATATTATAAGAAAGATAAACTAAGTTGAATAATTATTTTAAAAACGCACCTAAAATCCCCAGAGCCGTCTGTCGTCCCATCGCTTTAGCGGAATTTGACTGATAATCTAGATCTTCTACGTTTTTATATACAAAAGTAACAGAATTAGGTAAGTTATGCGTGGCGAGCAGTGATAATTTTGTTTGATTCGCAACCACTTGAGCGTTCATCAGCAATGATTTGTTGATTTCTAAATTTTAAATATTTCGATTGAATGACACGAAGCGTAAATTGTTTTTCACAATGTGTAATATACTTTATGACATTATGCTGCGATATCAAAAAATTATGCGTGCTAAATTCTGTCATAAGACTATAACGTGGTTGGTGCAGAATAATTTAAATATAACGATATGAATTTGCGAGCATATTAGTATAGTGATATGATTTTTTACGCGGTAGAGCCACGCTGCAGCTATATATTATGATTGTAGCACAAATGGTTCGGCTCGGCCGGGGAAGTACCACGCTCTCACAAAATACCAGCGTAAAATAGCAGTTTAATGCTGCTGTGTTTCCTATGGTGAGTGTAGAGAACCGAATACCCTGTTTTACTGTAAGCGAGGCGTTAACTCTTAGTCCTCAGGGGTGACAACGCATCTGCGTTTTGTTTCTTAATCGAAGATAAATGTAGATATCTATGGACCACATCATCCATTTACCATCAGTTGGACTCTGTGCTCGTTTGTCAACCTAATTCTTTAAAAAATATGACTTATGTTACCGTTTACGGTGAGTTCACTGCCACTTAGTGGTGGAACTAGAGAATAGGAAGTTACTTACCCATGCGAACTCCTGAGCAGAGATGGAGTCCTTCCATCAAGTGAGGCTGTCTAATTAATAGAAATTTGTTACAAAACACCGTTACAGCATGCAATAAAACTGAGAGGAAAAAGTCTTAAGCTTTGTAAACAAGCTTTAATAATGCTTTACAGACTATCCTCCAGCACGATCAACGCATCTGATACCGTATCCTAGCTCTACAGATGGCAGTGGATATAACATTTTCTCAACGCTCTTCAGTTTCCTTGGCACTGTTGCCAACTCCCTGTTGAACGGGGAAATCTCTGTTTATACTAATAACGGACTTGTCGACATAATCTAAGTACTCAGAATTGAGTCTACGACTTGGGGCGGGCCTTCTTCGTTGAAAGTTAGTCAAATGTGTTCATAGCCCTCATACATTCACTGCTAATTGGCCTCTTATAAAGCGATTATAGCATTTACGCTGCTTATGCGATGATGATAACATGACGATAAATACACTAGTCCGCAACACTTTTAAATTTTACAATGAACATCGTACTTGTACATAACATTTGAAATCTTATAGACATTAAAAACGTAAACGGATCTTTATTGTTTACCTTCTAAAAACCGTTACAGCGGCGAAGTAACAACCCATGCCGTCCCACGGGTATCCTAAGAGGCAACAGAGGGAAACATACCAGGACAAACCAGGAACGTGGCAATTGTTATTGTTCTATGAGGTAATCTATGGGGAAGGCTTTTGTTCAGAATTAGAATTTTGACAGGCTATAGGGTAACTTTTGCGAGACTTCGAACTTCGTTTTTATGTTAAATTTTCTCAAACAAGTTCGCTAATGTAAAAATAATATCGAGAGATTGAACATTTTGGTAATTACAATCAGGCGCTTCATTTTTAATTAACTGCTATCGAAAAATAACGCTTTTTGAGTAATATTAGTTAGCATTAAAAGTTAGACCATTTCTAAACAGTTTTATTAGTGTGTATACTCGTAATTAGACCTTATTTAATTTATTTATCGGTTTAAAATAAGTTAACTCAGCAGCGTTTGACTCAGTGGAGAGGCGTCTAAAGCTCATTGGTAATCATACATGCTTTAGTTCTTCCCTCTCCATTCTAACATCGGACAACCAAGTGGTCGGTGGGTATTCGCCTTTTGTCGATATTCCACGCATTAAAACCAGAAACTGCTTTGTTTTTTGTAGCGCGTACAGCAAGGAAGTGAAATAATTTGCTGGCGTGCAAATAATTTGCTGGGGATCTATAAGGCAAGAGTGAATAGGATTTTGTTATGCTGAGATAGTGCGACTTACCTTCTAGGGTTTCTTCACCATTCACCACCAGGTACTACTGCGATTAGCACTAGCTTGTAATAAGCAAAATGGCTTTATACTAGCTAAACCGGAACAAGTGGTGAATAGTAGAGAAGGTCGTGTTCACCTCTCTCTCTCTCTCTTATTTAGACCATCTCTTTAATAATGCTGTAGTCGTACTATGTCCTGGCCTAAATCCGGATTGATATGTGTTAAGGATGTCATTTCTTGTGAAAATGAGTTTAAATGTTGTTGGACAAGACGTTCTAGGACTTTGGACAGAAAAGGAAGAATTGAAATAGGACGATACTCGGAATAACTCGAAGGATTATCTTTTCTTTGGGCAAAGGAATGATTTGAGCATCTTTTCATTGAGAAGGAAAGGAGGATGTTGATATAAAAAAAAAATAGGATTAAATAGGTGTTACTATATAAAGTAAGGGCATAATCATTTTACGACTGATATCATCACTTCGTCAGACATACGACAGCGTCGGAATGGATACAGAATATGTTTCTCCTAACATCACAATCTGCAAATTGCCTAAACACAAATGGAGGATAGTCAGGATTGGGTAATGTTGAAAGTTGAGTTGTAGTTGACTTTGCAATATTATCAATGCAAGAAGCACAGGAAAAGTGCTGATTAAGTAAATTTAAATCTATATTATTTTGAATCGAGCTTGAACGTAATTCCAAGAGACCTTAGGAATTTCCAAACATGGCTTGGATTTTCGTTTTGAACAGATTTATGGATATAGCGTCGTCGTAAGTCTCTACACAGCTTGCTGCAATGGTTGCTTAGGATCCTGTATTTCTCCCGAATCATTTCATTTGTAGGATCTGACTTGTGCCTGGTCTTTGCAGCATTCTTTTTTTGCTATAATTTTTAAGGTGTTCGGTTAACCATGGGGCTGGAGGATGACGTACACGAACTGGACGAACAGGAACATGTACATCGCAAATCTTAATAAGGACAGGGTTAAATACTGCTACCTGCTGGTCAACAGTATAAGCGTTTGTAATAGCCCTTCAATCCGTATTCACAGCATCTTCTCGCAATTTTTCCGAATCCATTTCCACAAAAATATGCTGCAGAAGTATTGTTGCTTTGGCTTTGGGTTGTCTTATTTTATAACAAAGAAGTAAAAGATCGTGATATGAGAAGGCATTATCAGCACAATGACCATATTTTTCAAAGTGGTCGATAGTAGAAACCATAACCAAATCAAGGAGAGAGGGAATGCAGTTAGGAAAAAATGAGTTTCAGAAAGGGAAAGAATATTTAAATTGGATGCTTCAACTAGAAATTTAAGTCGACGGGAGCAGGCATCATCTTTAAGTAGGCAGGTATCAAAGTCACCCATTAGCACAGTGTTGTATCCAAAGTTGTAAAATAGTCAACTAAAGAACTAGGGCTGTAAAAAACACCAAGAAGTAATTTTGTGTGTGACAGGTGAACTTCAAAGACATACACAAATAAGTATTCCGCTTCGTTCTCATTTTAAGATTAAGGTGATATAAGAACGAAGGTAAACAGCAACACCACCACCGCCCCGAACAGTCCAGTCATTGCGTATTAAGTGGAATCCTGAAAGGGAATAGGAAATACGTAGGACACTAAATAAGTTTTGAGATATACAAAAAATATTCTAGATACTATTAATATTTATTTTACATCTTTTCAAAATATTTTTCAACATGCACTATACAAAGTTCCATTCGCCTAAACTAACTCTAAAAACACTTTTGCCAGTCTTGATCTGACAGGTCGGAAATTGCTTCTTCGTAGGTAGCCACGGCTTCTTCGGAGCTTGAAAAAAATTTGCCTTTTATTTTTGCTTTCACTCTTAGGAACGAAAAGAAATCACAAGGAGCTAAGTCAGGGCTGTAGGTTGGGTAACTTAGAGTTTTAACACCAGATTCCTCAATAAATGTTTTTGTTCTAAGGCAGGTATGTGAAGAAGCATTATCGTGATGTAGCATGATTAACCGAAGCCCGGTCTTTGGTCTTCTCTCCCGTACAGGTTAAAAAGCTTTGGGTAATGCAACTATAGTTTACCATTTAGAGTTGACTGACCTACAATTTTCCAGCATTGACGTCGACAAAAATGTCCGCTTCGCGAAAAAACCTAGCCACCATTTTTCTATCGACGTTGCGAGGTCTTTGTAGTTTTGTCGGTAACTGTCCTTCTGAGTAGACCCATACCTATGATTACCTTTTATTTTCCGGATCATATTGATAGATCCAGGCCTCGTCACCTGTAAAGATTTCTGAAACACGCCTAGATGCCCCGTTTTCAAAACGTAGACGCATTTCATGGCACCAATCCACACGAGTCTGTTTTTCGCTTTCGGAGAGCAAACGAGGGATCCATCGACAACAAAGCTTTTTCACTCTAAGATGTTGATGTAGGATGGTATAAATGCTCCCCGAACAAAACACAAAAAATGCCTACAATCTTTTCAGTGTCCGTATATGTGATTCGTGGTTCTTCTCGCACCAACATTTCAGTAGTCCATACATTTTCTGCCGTTACTGCTGTTTGCGGGGCCCGGGTTTTTTGGTCATCTTTAAGGTTAAATTGACCCCTTTTGAATTATGCAAACCACCTAAAAATGTTTGTTGCACGTGATGAAGCTGAGTCTCCTAATGCTGATTGTAACCGCTGTAAACTTATTTGTTCGGTCAAACCAAGCGCGCAAATGTTCACGGTTAAGATCCATCGTTTTAAATGAAAAGCGTGGGAAGCGTTGCAGAAAGATTAATAGAACCTCGTTTTTTTAATATTGTGCAATTGGCTTATGAAGTTCTATTTTTCAATAAATTTGCTTTTTAGAAACATATAACACGGGTGCGTTCCATCTTTAAATTTCGAACATCTCAAAACTTATTGAGTGACCTACGTAGATGGCAGACGTGGTTTTAACCACGATTCTGAAACTAAAATTGCATGAATGTTTTTACCATCACAGCTGGCCAGCATATCAGGATGATGAGCAGAAATACTCTGTGCATTTATATGCACAATATTGAAATTTTTGAAAAATTGTATAAAATGGGAGTCAAGTTTCTTTTAAAGATGGT